TGTGTAAACCAATCGTCCTATCATGGACAACCATTGGATATTGCGTCTCGCAGAACCACATGAATAGATATTTCGTAAAGCCAACAGCCACAGTGGTGATAAAGTTGCATACGGATCCACGCATACTACATACACTGGAGCTCTCAAAATCAAACTGCCCATGTAACCAAAAATAATCATTTTAAGGGAGGAATAAATGTAGCACTTCATTCACGCGCTTTTTGCAACCGGTAACCCCACTCTTAAAAAACAAACTTGTCGAGTGATTTTTGTATCTGACTTATCAAAGCAGTTAACGAAACATCGCAAATTTCTACCAGTTATTCAATTTTCCTCCTTTCACAAGGAGGCATGTAAATGCGTGGGAATGCTGGAAAGGTTGGGACAAGCATCTGTCGGCAGTACAAGCAAACGTGATGAAAAGGGAATCAGTGTGAAATATTTCGTCATATATGTGTAACAATTTGAGTTTGCGAAATGTAAGCCGAACACCCTGTAACGCACACTCAAATTCAAGACCAACTTACCATTGTACCGATGCCCACTGAGCCGTCTGATGCTGGCTTTCACAGGAGGACAGCTTCTTATTATGAAGCTTTTATTCAAGAGTTTATTTCAGGCTGAAAGTTATTTGAACTTTGGACCAGAACCACACAAACTGAATGCAATATTACCAACACACGGGCATCCGCGGATAGACAACCCCACGCAATTGAAATAAAAGCATGCTTTTCTAATAACCGATTAGTTTGCAGGTGCAAGTGGTGCCTGATTTTCTAACCAACTGTGCAAAACTAGCCTTCTGTTGCTTCAAACATAGAGTTAAATAGTTGGGAGCTAGCATGGATAAAACCCTTCAAGGCACTCACATATGATGAGTATATAGCAAACAGAACTGAAAAAAATGGAAAAAACATAACCGCTAAATACTAATAGATGTTTTTGAACACAATGCTCCGGTTGAATGTTGTCCCATTCCACATACAACGAACCACACCGCAGTCAGCCACAGCAACGTGAGAAAAATTTGTACAATACAAACTGATCAAGTGGAAGAAATTTCAAACGTGATAATTCTAAGTTAATGCTCGTATATATCTACTATATACTTGCCAATATTGTGAAAACTGCCGAAATACCTAGTGAAAGTGTGATGGGAAACACATGAACTGGTAGTGGTTCAAGGAGTCATTTGTCACAACGTCACTTTCAGGAAGCCAGACGGCCTCAGATTAATCTGGATTATGCTAACAGGGTGCCCTCACAACAAGGTCCGCGCTTGCAAAATAACCACAAAATATTTCCACCGGTAATAATAAATAATAATCGTTCAGCTGTAGCGCCCTTTCGGTGCCTAGCTACTGTGCTACCCGAAGGAAGCACGAGGGCTGGGATACTGTCAGGTTGCCCAAGCCTAGACAGGGGAAGTCGAGAGGCAGAGGTCGGGTACGAACCACGGACCTTCCGGTCAGTAAATTCGTGCTCTAACCACCTGGGCTATCTCGCCTCCATTTCCACCGTTGGACGTTCACAATTCGCAGCAACTTCATTGTGACAACCAAAGTATATTTTAATTTACATTATTAAGGAATTTCCTGGGTTATGCGTTCCCTTGAATGTTCCGGTTTACTGGTTGAGGTTTCTTTTGCTTCTCGTGGCTTGCAAATAGAAAGCACCTGAGGCATAATCAGCCGGTACAGAGTAAGTATCGCCACCTTCGCTTCTGCACCATTTGTGATGAGTAGTGGCGCCGGTAAGCCACCTCGCAATCAACCACGACACCGAATTTTTCGGGTCACATTTGTCCAACTGAGATATGGGTCCGTTTAAAATCCGAAAAACGTCATTCTTGACATGATGCGGGCACCTATGTTTTGTATGTCCATAGCATCAATTCATTGCCAAGTATGCCCAAATACCCGGACATGCTCCCGACGAGTTTGTTCTGATGATGAGTGGATTCTCTGAACGTCAATCTTCCACTGCCTGGATATTCTATCCAGATATCTTCACCTATCTTCACCTACATTAAACAATCCAGCTGGCACCCCAAAACTCCGTAAGATGAAATAAACGCTGTCCGTGAAGGCAAGCATATCAATAAATCCGGTGAACCCTGCACTGACGATGTTATCTCGATTAGTGATGGAACAATTGTAATCCGATTGTTGCTCTGGGCGAACAGACCAACATCAATTAACACGCTTCCAGGCAAACACTGTTCATGACTTGAGTGCGTGATCGATCTGTGTGATTTTGTTGATGTCTTTGGAACCAAGATAATAATATTATTGCATGTGATAGATGTGAGTTTTTCACGCCGGTTAAAATTTCGCCCACGTTTAACTTATGTTAATTAGGTGATGCTTATGCAAACCTGACAAGAAGCGTACGTACAACTTAGTTTATGATATTAGTGCATTTATCTTGGTAAAACAGTTCGTTTGAAGATTATATACTAAATTCGTTTATAAGTTCAGTTCTCCGAGGGAAGACCCAATTATTTTGACCAACTGACAACCCTTCAAATTTTTCAGCCGGAGAGTGCAGCTGAAATATGTAATGTGAAGATGTTTAAGAATTTCCAACGTGTAGTTCTTTGTGCAAGGGAAATCAGTCTACACTGAGGCACTTTAACGAAACTTCAGAATGATTTTTTCTTCTAGTCGCAAGGAATATTTGTAAGAATTCCATAATCTCGTCCTGAGTGGGTGATATGAGGCCACCTAGCCGTTCTGTTGTTTGTACCCCTTCATATTGTTGCTCCTGGTAAATGCTTAGCTATTCACTTTTCCAAGTATTCCCATCAAGGTCTTGTGACACGATTTTGACGATCTTCCAAGACTAATGGCTCTCAACTCATCGACTTGGTTGACGATCATTTGTTCAAAGTTGTTCGTGAACGTACTAATTTTTGTATGTTTTTCTGATGTATTGAAAACGGAGCTCATTAATTTTGGGAGAATTTATGCAAGCCAAATGTTTAGCAACTTTGAATTTTAATAGTACCACCGCCTTTCGCTGGGGGAGGTTTCTCACCCCTGGTCGCTCTCTCGCATCAATCCGTTTCGTGGAATGAACCTTGCGTTTTGATCTACATTTCATCGTTTGTCAGTGTTCATCTAGAGAGCTTTTCGGTTATTTATAGATCAAGTTTTTATTTAACTGGAGGTTGTGAGTAAACTGAATAGGATGTGCTAAGTAGCCCAATAGATAAGCGTGCCCAATCTTATTAATAAACTGAGCGATATTGACGCTGGTGCATGTGTCAAAGAAGTATCTGTTATTGAACTGTCAGGTTCTGCAAGCAAAATAATATCTAATATTTTAGCGGTGGATATTACTGATGAGGCGTGTGCGTAGTGCGTGGTTCGTAAATCCGCTTTGCCTCTGTTGAAAAGTGTGACTTATCACGCAGTTTGTGGAATTGATTTGTAGCATTCGTTTACTAGTAAGTCATATTCAGTGAATAGCCAAAAGAGTTCAAGAAGACGCTTTCGATAAGAAGACGGATATTTGATTTTTATCAACAAGTTGCCTAGGAGGGTTTTGCTTCCATGTCCAATAGCTTGTAGCTGTTCAGTTGATGTTTCCTGATAAGCAACTTTGCAGAAAAGACCTTCCTACTGAAAACAGCTTTTTAACTTGACGTCCTGCTACCTATTTATAAAACAAGAAATGAAATTATATCATCTATATCCCATTATTCAAGTGAGACTTCCGCATTTCGGGTAGTTGCTTTGTGTCAAACTGCACAGATTTTGCTGTGTCGTCGAAAGAAGGGATGATATGTTCCAGTGACGGGAAGTCAATTGGTATTGAATTTCATTAAAATAAATTTAATTAGGCATTGCACTGTTTGGCACGTTCGTGTTTACCAATACGGCTGCACATATTCTTCCTTAACCAGAATGCTGATTTTCTTACTCAAATAAACGTTTTTGGCATTGTTGTAGAGAGGTGAGTTGTTACGCTTACTGTTACTACTAAGGAGTCACCACCACCGTCTTTGCAGGGTTTCGAAAGTGATATATACTAGAATTCTTATCCTGGCCAGCCCGAAACAGGCTGAGTAATATAACTCTAATGTGTCCAGAAGCCGTAACGTTAGACCATGTCAAATGGTACGATGAAATTACCCAATACGTGACAAATTTAATCAGCCCACTGACCTGTCCTCAGGGGTAGTTTCCAGAACTATTTTATATCTTTCCTGAGTGCACGTCGACTCGGATATTTAAAACCTGGTGAACCAATGTTTCTGGTGATGTATGTTGAAGCTAGCATGTTAAACGCAAGTAGAAACTGCTGAAGTTGTAGTAAATGGAGTTTATTTTGTTCTCACCAATGTGTGCCAACTCAGTTTACCAGTATCGATAATAGCTGAAGTCAATGGGCATGCTGTCTGTTTCACCGGCTTATCGGCATACCCTAGTCACTCTGTTCACTCAAAGACGCTCTTACAAAACTAATGACATTCTCGTACAGGTTAACAAAACCAGTGGTCAATATCCGTGCTACGTGGAATGTACGGATAAACTAGCAAGCTTTACTGTAATAACTATTGTGTATTTTGTGAGCTGTCAAGCAAGCAACAAAGGTTAATGGATGACACTGTCAGAAAATTTTTCACCCGACCAAATTAAGTCATTCGCATGTAAGTGCATTTAGCTCAAGGATGCTAGTATATTCAGAATTATAGCACACGTTTTAAGTTACGTTAAAGCGGTGACCTAGGCCGCTTGACACATTTTTCAAGCCTTGCCAGTTTTCTTAAGAACAAGCAGTAATGCCAAAAAATAAAAAAATGTTCTGCTCAAATACAGCCTTGATTGAATAATCTGCATCTATTATTCTTGAATCAAACACACCACAAAATGATTCATGTAACGGAATTACAAACTGAACGAAAATATAAATGTTTTGAGCGGCAGACAATCAAGCAATGGGGAGCATGAACAAAATCAAAAGACATTTGTTCACGCATTGTCGGAATGCTTTCAACATTTTACTGCAGCAAAACCCACTCGGTTGTTTTGTTGATCAAATATTGTGTGAAAATGGCGGAGGAAGGATATTCCGATTAGCCAGTTGTTTTCGCTAGCGTCTTGCGTCCCGTCTATTGCGAACACATATACGTTGCCGACCTTAAGTAAGAAAATCGCATTTGGTAATTTTTTCACTTTATAACTTGCAAGGCAAAATTTGAACGATGCATCTACTTACAGGTCTAACGAGCTGCTCAGGATGCAGCGTGAACGCGTGGGAACGCAGGTTTATAGTAATTGGCAGGAGGTATGGAAGACGTTGATGGGGAACATGCAGCACTGCAGCATCATATACCTCCACGACAGAGTCTTGTAGAAGCATTTGTAGTGCTTTGCCAGGAGCACGAGTACCTGGAGTTCCGGTATCCAACAGTGCATAACAGGACATACAGAGAATTACGTCTCCGTATACAATACTGAAATTAAAGGTATATCAAAGGGGTTTACTTGAAACCGTGTCAAAATAATCGCTTATCGTGATCTTATTCCACATGTTATATAGCTGAATGTGGAAATACTCAGTAGCATATCATCCATCAACAATTTTTTAAACAATCTTATATGAAACACGTTACTTTTAAATGTTGGCGCTTCTTCAAAGCCCACAGATTATTTTCGTTTGAGATATCAAGTACATGGGTAGAATTAATACGTTTGGATCTGACTTGTGCTATTGCAACCGCACCCTATGGATTACAATAAAATGGTACGTTGCGTAGACTAGGTTAAAAAAATTTCGGCAATTCTTCAAAACACAAGAACATCACCAAAAGAGGTAAGTTTTTCAGAAGTACCGTGAACATCAGTACAGCATTTTCAAGAGAATTTCTGTCGACAACCGATCGCCCCAGAGAATCAAAATGTGCATGTAACTTGCAACGATGGATAACTAATTTCTTGGTTGAAAACAATCGGCTAAGACTCAATTTATGTAGCCCAGTGTGTCATTGAAGCCTTGATTTCTTTCCAGGAAGTTTGTCTGCTTTGCCGAAAAACTGATCAAAGAGCAATCAAAAATTTGCTCGATAAATACAAAACTTAAATGTTGCTCTGGCACTAAAACATGTGAACCGATTGCCCTTAATATACCACATAAATTCATTGTACATTTTGTAAAAAATTGAACATCCTCCAATCCATCATATTAGCCTATGATTATACCGCAAAACTGTCTATTTTTTGCACACCTCGGGTACTTCCTTCGTCAAAAGGTGCGTAAATCATGTGATTAAATTGGGACCATAAACCTCGTACTGATTCACGATGTTGTCCCGCGTGCACATGAGGAAGAATGTGGGTCTCACGGAGATCTCCATGGTCACATAAAACGAAAAAATGTTCGCAGGTTTGCTTAAAATTATATTCGGGTTCCAGTTTCTGTGGATTAATTTTTTCAGTAAACGCAGCACGTCTGAGAAATGGTATGAATAAAAATTCCGCAAGGAATGCACAAACGGTCACCCAGGTAGTTCCTTAAGACGCACGGACAAAAAATTTAGAAATTTCATAACAACTTCATTTTACGGCTTTCGCGTAGTTTGTGATTTTACCGTAATTCATAAAGATACCGCACATTTAACGAACCTTCGGTTGAGGCTTCACCAACTCGCGCCATTTGCAGCCTCACAAACTACACTGAGCGTTGGAAGCCATATATATAAGGTATCCGTAACATCAATACTATTTTACGGATGCGGCCCCGATTTTTAGGTTGCGTGACCCCTTGGATTCCTAAAATTTATGCTCACTGATGTCACTGCAACTCAGTATGTTTTGGCTGACTCCACTGGGCAGACAAATGAGCAGCACATAATTGGGGGTTTATCTGTGAATAACGGTGGTCAACAAACTGTGCTTCGCAGTTTTTCGAGACAAAAAGCATTCTATTGAATAGCATTTGCAAAAAGGATATGAGGGAGAACGCGGTACATATCAAGAAAATCCCAGCTGCAATTTATGTGCGGCTTTCATGTAAAATCATTTCACTGCTCTAAAAACTGCGGTGGTCGCTAGACTCTTGAGATTAACAAGCGTACATGCTGCGGTCCCTAAATTTCACTGGTCTCTAAGCAAGTCAGTGCAACACTACATCGACGTTTTTCAAAACCCTACTCATATTCACCGTCAAGAGAAAAAAAATATTAGGAATTCCTCTTTCTCACACTGCGTCAGGTGGTTCATTAAGCTATTAATGTGCAGAAAATCGCTAAGGTCACTGAAATGACAACCTGGTAATTCAGTACATTACCTCACCTGTCAATATAAACCATCCACTGTTTCGACTGGTATGTTGGAAGATAGACAATCGGCAGATGGTGGAACTCGTCTCGCACACCTCCAAAAATCAGGTCTCCATTGACGAACCACGAAAATCGACGCATACCTGGTTGACTGTAAAGTTATTTATAAAACTTGTAATAAAGCCCCAGTTAAATGGTGTATAATCTTCCCCTTGTCTTTTTCCAGTGAACGGGAAAACTAGACTTTGTACAAACTGCACCTCAGAACGCTACTGAAAAATTCAAATCGTGTAACCGAAAGCTTCTAAATCCGTTACTGTGATACATTATAATATGACACCAAACTGAGCCCACGACCGGTTTCGTCCTTCTTGGGGCTCATCAGGTAGACGCAGTCCCCGGGTTTCCGTCAACCTTATGATCTACTTGAACCCAAATTGCACTGTTTTCTAGGAATGCACTCATTTGCAAATCAATTCGGTTTTCACGGGAGACCCAATTAAATCTCTCGTTTATGATATTCTACAACTGAATATGCTGCACACAGGCCGCCTCATGATTCAGTCGCCCACGGTAAAAAGATGATACTTCCTTTTCCCATGATCCTCGCATGAACTAATTACTAAGAACCAAATTAAAGAAAAAGATTCAAGGGGTGATCTATTAGATGATGAAAAAAGTACATCATTTCGTGCGGTATTACACGAAATCTCTAAGCAAAATATACTATAAGTTTGGGTGGTTGTCTGAGTTTAGTTCCCTCCATCTGTTTGAAATTTCTTGCATCCTAAAACTAATGATTAACATACCAATTTGTCCATTGGGGGTGCCAATCAGTCCTAGAAATCTCAGAGTCGCTTCATTGCTGTAACATCGGTTTTCTAAAGCGTCTTCATTAACGCCAGGAAACTGCGAATACACAGACTTTTGGCTGGTGGTTTGATCACTAGATCATTTTGCAAATCGTGATGGATCGGTCGTGTAATCAACTCTACCTCAGACACGATGTAGTGTTCCTCATTGATTATTCAATGAGAATAGTCAAAAGATCGTCTCACCTCACGCCGGATTTACCGATAATGTCTAACATTATCAGTAAACAACCGATCACAGCCAGCTTACGGTTTGCTTTGAAACACACAACAAATCACAGACTTCTTGCTAAGAATTTGAACCCAAAGATATCTGCATCTACGTGGACAACCACATTTTGTCTCAGCACGTTTACGCTGTTGTGAAGTGCTTATTGAGTACACTATGCTTACAATACCATAAACATGGGGTGAAAATTTTCAAAGGCCCTTCTAACCCCTTCATTCATCAGAGCAAATTACATGGACAGCCTTAATATTTATACATATATGTTCTCCATAGTTAATCAACTTATTCACTCATCTGCTAGGAGAGAAAACCCTAGTCATCCCTTTCTGTCAAGTAACTACCTCGCTCCGAATGCCATAAATATTTTGCATTTGTTAAATTTCAAATATAAGTTAGCGAAAATCGCTGTTCAAATAAACATACAAAGATCAAAACCTACCCGCAAAACCGAAATGTAAATACAGCTTCTTGCACCGTGCCCACAGCAAGGAAATGATCAAGCAAATTAACTTCAAATATTTCCTTTCCCATCGGACCTTTGGAGGGTTTACTCATCCCAAATATTCCGTCGTGTCCCACGCTTGCATCCACGGTAATAGAAGAGCAGATCATTTCATTTAATGTAAACTGTTCAACGGATTGCCCTGCAATCTTCAAAAATAGTGAAAAATGTTGAATAGCTTACTAAAATATTATCCATTACGACGTTTCCCTCGTATTGCTCACCGCTGTAGCTTACCACGTATTGTTTCTCTAATGAGGTCCGGGTAGGTGAGTTCTCATCGTACTTTACTCGATTTGGGAAGTGGTCAGCGGCAGACCTGCTAGAAGGAATCCACCGACTAAATCCTCCGGTGTCAAACATAACCTTGAACTGCTGCACCCCTATTTGAACGAAGCCGTACGAAAGACCCAAGAAGAAGAAAAATGAAGATTCATACATGTCCACACCGAACTTACTGCGTCGTCGCTATAAATATCTACGGATAAAAACGAATTTTGGGGTGCGGTTAAGCGCGTTCTGTACTCTGGTTTTCAAGCCAAACGTTCAACTCACCCAATCAATACGAGCAATAAAATTGAGAACAGACATGACCCTGCTGTTGTGCGCTTAGGCATTACACGTAAATCCACTATCTGAACACTGGCTCCGTTTTTCGGACCAGGAGCGATTCAGCATATATATCCACTTGACGTGCAAAGTTTGAATGGTTGCGAGCCATTATTGGCCAGAAAGAGGCAAACAGGTGACGATTACCAATCTAGAACAAGCGCACACTTGAGGGCTTGGTTATTGGTTTCCGTC